TTGTGATTGTAATTTACTTATGATAGACTGTAAATTATCATGGAAATGTTCCGTGATAGGACATATCGTAATCTGACTATTCTGTATTAGTCATTACATGTCTATGTTCGTAAATACTGTTGTCTGCATTAAGGGAGCAGTAGCTAAAATTAATATCTAATTCAGTAAATGATTCTAATGTTAATTGTATTAACTATGACTCATGAACTATTGAGGAATAGTATATAAATGCAGTATATCGTGAAATAAAGAAGAATTGTCCAACTTAGTGTTTAACGTAAAATACGAGGCGTTTAAGTCTTTGTGTAGTCTGCTAGTAGAGCAAAAGTGTTTGTGATAGTGCAGATATCGTTCCTTGATACGTGGTTCAAGGAATTGACTTATTGATCGTATATTGCGTTATCTTGTTGCAAAGCTGTTTTGTGACACGTATCCAGTCTCGCATGGCTGGATTTATTCTGATATAGTTATAAATTCTTGACAAATCAAGAAGATGCTGTTAATATTGTACATACATTTTCTGAAGTATCATTAACCATAAAACTCATATAAGTAAATTCATCGCAGGCTAAAATCATGTTGCAGTAGACGGCACATCGATTAAGAGAAATACCATTAAGAGAAGATATTGTTCGCAAACCAGCAGTAGAAGATTGAATTTGCTTGTAGATTGTATCTGCTGCAAGAGAATAATGCTCGTTAGCTAAAACTAAGACATATTTATACATTTTTACCATGATTTGATTAACTACAATAACTAGCAAAGAGATTTTACTGAAATCTAAGTTCTTAACTTCATTGTTAATGCTACTATTAGCAAATATAGAAAATAATAATGATAATTGCATATGTTAACATGCCAATATCAGTAACTGGCAACTTGTTGTTGCCATTCTACAATGTATATGTGATTTCGAATTTTACCAGTCTAAAAGCTTCAGGAATGTACACAACCTTATCTTAAATATTAAATAACAGCACATCCTTGCTAAAATAACTCACTCTACATATTAAACCTGTGATAAAAATCTTATTTCCTCACAGATATAAAGATTGAATATCTTTATTCATATTGACAAAATCTAATGCTGACATAGCATTTCAATGAATAATATAGAGCCCGCTCAAATTAAGCCATTGCTTCAAAAATTTATCATTCTAATGCAAATTATATTGTCATAGATACTCTCATATATGGCTTATGCTAATTACGTAATTACGCTAATGGCTTATGCTAATTACGTATAGAAAATTACTAAGTGTCATAATATGATTATACGGGTAAATACTAGTATTATCTATATTGTAATTTAGCTTGATTTTTGAACTGTGACAACATAAAACTGATGTAACTCCACTAATTTGATCCGTATCCTTGATAATTATGCCGCGATTACATATAAAGTATGTACGCAGGGAGGAGTAAATACACGTACTTGTCTATGTAGTAACAATCACATCATGTTGAAAATTAGCTAAATTTTTAAGTAAACTTTGACTTTTTAACTGCATAACTTGCATCTATAGGATCTCAGGCACTGTGTCTATCCATTTTTTAGTTTCCCAGAATTGTGGGCTTAAATTCTCATCCTTCAAAATTGAATTAGTAGATTTCTTTGATAGTGCTTAAATATATATCTCAAACTTATGATCTTACTCGTATTCTTATGAGAATATAGAATATACTAGATAGTAGCCCTGATACCTCTATCGCTAGATTACATCGAACAAAAGCTTTTGCTGCCTAATTACTAACATATGACTTCATTTGAATGCATCTATGCTCATATTTTTAAAGACCAAATATTACGTATGCAAACGCATTCTAAGATTTTAGCTGCTTTCAAATAGCAAAGACTGACAAACAGAAAACAGCATGGGAGCAGATCAAGCTAATTTCCATACTATAATTTAATTATCAATCTTGAATTGCTAATATCTCAATTCCGAAAATATGAGCATGAAATTTATTTACCAGAATTTGCTGATATTTTCGTAGTTGCGTCTGTAGTGTAGAAATAAATCTTCGGCTTGCTTACACTAGCTTGGGCTGAAGCAGCTGCAGCCGCTGATGGAGTAGTGGAACCGTATTTTAAGCTTCCTAATTAAAATTAAAAGTAATAAAATTGATCATGTTGATATTACCTAGAGCTATCTTTATTGCTAGTAAATGTTAGTTTCTGTCGTACCGTACTTTATTAGAATTCAGCTTACGCTTACTGTGGTATCCAATAATACTATTATTGCTCGAATTATTGAATACCAGTATACTGGAATTATGATTGGTTTTTAACTTCTACCAACGCAATTAATTATCTTCAAGAGTAGTTTATTACCTCTTTCACAGAGTGACCACGTAATTGTACTGCATAATACATTTTTCCACTTGTATCCCGCAGTAAAGGATGTCATTAGGACGCAATCATGTTTTGGATCATATTCATAAAATCCCCAATCGACATAGGTGCTAGCAAAATTATTATTAACCCATAGATAACTGAAGAGGCTATTGAGATTATAAGTATCATTCAAACCAATCCATACAGAAGGAACCCATGACAAGTAAAAATTGAATATACCGCTCAGAATGGCATCATTAATTATGGCCAGATCACCTTGAAGGTTTTGACAGTGAATTCGAGCCTGAGTATAATTTTGTGGCTTAGCTTGAATAGTAAAAGTACGATTGTTGTATTCGATATCGTAGTCACATTCTAGCAAAAAATAATTGAATAAAAATTCAACCAATTTAATCAAAAATCATAGCTGTTGATATTGGTGACTTTAAATTAAACAGCAACTAAATCAGGAGAAATTGCTTCCCAATACAACTCCGCAAGTAAAAAGTATAATTAAGATATTGCGAAGAAACTAATTGTCTAGCTTGAGTTACTGATTGAAGAAAGGATGAATTGTTCATTCAAGTATATAGCTTGAATTTTACAAAGCATATGAAAATATAAATAAATCTTCGAGATTTTTATAATGTAGCAGTATCCAGACTGAAAATGTATAAATTCAACTCTGTTCCTAGTAGTTGGATTATGTTAGTCAACGAGATTGATTATAATGTCTAACCTAAATTGCTAGTAGCTACTAAAATGTAGTATTCACCCTGAATCGTAACTTAACTTTTAGGCTGTTGCACTTTAGTATTTCACAATATGTTATCAAACAATCACTATTTGAAACACTGCGGTTGTAATAGTGTCAAAATCACAACATGAGCAAAGCATAAAGACCTTTAGAGTAAATTTATTATCGTTTTCAGGTAATGTTAAATACGATAATAAAGTGCTTTATATGTAACGTTATGGAAGAATCAAGAAAGAAAACTTATGGATAAATCTTTGCAACCAATAAGAATGATGAAAACATACACAGGAAATAAATTGTTTATAGTAAGCACAAAATTTTATATTGTTAATGTTATTGCTATTCGTAGAGTAAATTATAAACGTAATGAGTACTAGTGCCTAATAATGGAAAAAAATAACTTAAATTCGAATGAAATATAATCTATTTGCATTCAAATAGTCACTTTTGCAAGATAAGTTTGAATTTATCCATTCTTAAAGAGAAATAAATAAGTGACAATTTTAAGGGTTTCTAGCGTTGTCATGAATACCTGAAGTACTGAATGAATTGTAACCCTTCCCCATTTAATACAATTATTAAGTAGCAAAGAGAGAAATTATCTATTCTGAAAATACTTATGGAATTGCGCAATAAGAGATTTAGGATCGATATG